CCAGAAGGCAAGTGCTACATCAATGAATGTTTCTTCTCCATACACTTTAGTTTTCTTGTTACTTTTATCCTCAGTTTTGGCAGTTTTCACTTTCCACAGATTCAACATACTTACATACTTCAGCCATTTGACCTGAGGAACTAAATTCTCCTTAGCTGTGGCTCACAGTCAGCGATCAACTTCTCCACATGGTTCTTAACAGTTTACTGCTTGTCAGAAATAAAAACATACAGCACTAAAAAACGCCATTTGTTCTCATGGAATCTACTACACTGATTGATTCACCTCACCTGAAGGAAGTTCTGGCTGGAATTTATTAGAGCAAGCTGGGCACTGAGGTCTTCTGCCTGAGCTTGACTTCCACGTACACCCTGCACCAACTGAGGAATGTGGTCTGCAACATTCTATAATAAACAAATAGAAAAGTTTTTAGTAGATAAATAAAAACTCCAAACCCTCTGACACTAAAGCCAGCCCTCTCCCCACCCCCCTTAGAGACAATCTGTAGTATTCACAGGTACAATACTCTTGTGCCTTCACAGAATTCATTTAGGATTCCATGGAACTGAATTAATATACGATAGGATTTTTCAGAGATGTTCTACTTTACTTAAGAAATCTTTATTCAAGCTACTCATTAGTTTAAAAATCCTACAAAACAATTTTAAATTTTCCTGCAAAATTATGTACACAAAGTACTTTGAATTACTTCCTTCGCATGCTCACATGCCAGTAACAGAGCTGACAGATTTTACAAGATAATGTCTTGCTTTCAGAAAAAAAAACCCGTCTTACAACACAAGCACCTCAGCCTACTTTTCCTTGACTTCTAACAATACCAACTTTGTAGTATGGCTGGAGCATTCTGAAGTGTGTATTGCTAAAACTTTATTCCTGGACTGCCCAGATTTGTGTTACCTATCCGTTCATTTCACAATAACACTTATGTCAGCAGTGCAATACTAATTCTGCTCCCCCCCGCCTCCCCCCCCAAAGTAAAAGAGTACTGGATCTTCTCTCCTATCTAATAAATCCTTCTCTGCTATCTAATAAATCATCACCAAGATCAAATTAGAATGAACTGTAAGCAATATAGTGAATCAGCTTGCTTTTTTTTTTTTAAATTCATACTGAAATAGCAGCTGCCTACAACACAATTTTGAGATGTACTTGAGCTACAATAATTATTTAATTCCAACATTTCTTAGGATTACCACCATGACAAGAAATAATTGCTCAATGTTAACGTGGCTTTTAACGATGCCTTCTTTCATGTTTTTTGTTCTCATTCCCCACATAACTGCTTTTCCATCCAGAAGAAAACCCTTTTGCATTCTATTGTATTTTTCAATTTTTTAAATGCAATTTCTTTAAAAACCCTGAAGCAACATTACTCAGAGCTAAAAATTAAGCTGCCAAATGTAGCTTAAACACAAAAGAGAACAGCTTCTTACTAGACTGAATTCTAGTTTAGAACTATAAAAATGTGCTTGACTTCAGGCATACCTTGAAATCTGTGGTCTTGGCAGCTTTAACTTCAAACTAGGAAACATGTTAACCATATAGTAAGGTCTGTAACTTATTTTTTACAGTGACATTTAAGGTCCCAGTTGCTTGTAAGCTGAACATCAGAATAGCAAGATCAGAGTTGTTAGTTATATAACTAATACATTAAATAAGGATTTCACTCCATTACAGTATAAATCACTATTGCCACTCCATCCTTCAGTGTGGAAAATTCAAAGGTTACCTTTATTCCATAGCAGACCTCGGTCCCATTTCACTGCATGTATCATTCAACAGCCTGTTTTGATGATCATAGAGCTACTCACTTGCTGAAGAGCACATTCATACACCGAACATGCGGCCAAGACTTCTTGCCAGTGTACAAAATTCTGAGCAACCAGACCCCTCCGCACAGTGCTTCTAGCACAGCTCTGCATATACAGTACTGCTGACTGATTTGCAGCAAAACTTTTACTTAAAGCACTTGCTTCAGGTGAATTGGCTGTTACTCAACAGATACATGCTGAGGTATATAAGCCTGTCAATCCTTTCTAGTAAGGTGTTTGCAGGGGTATTTGTAACAGCCATGGCACTTACAGTAGCTCAGCTTTCCAAAACTCTCCATACAGTAATGCATGGAAAATATGGATAACACAATAAATGCAGGTTCTCCAGAATCCATACAGATGAATGTGTGTGGTAGTGGTTTTTTGTTTGTGGTTTGTTTTTTTTTAAAATCTCCCTTTTGAGGTTGCAACAGTATTATTATAGAAGGTGATCTTCACTTCCCCATAAAGCAGAGTTCAGGACTTATTTGTCAGTGGGTTGTGATATATTTACCTTACAGCTCTGCACAAGTTGCTGGTGGGCTGCTGTGTTCTTATTTGAAACAGCTGCGTTCTGAGAAGCTGCAATAGTCTGAGTAGCAGCAGCTGCAGCTTGTTTAGCTGCAATCTTTGGAGAAAAAGAAACAGAATTACACCAGTAGTAAAAACTTTAGTAATTCAGAGGATCAAATACATATTATGGGTAACTTTGGCAGTAACAACTTTGACAGATTAATACATTATATCCCTTGATTAATTTGATTTGCCTGAAAGAAACTCAGGATTACTCTTCTCTCAAGATGAAAGTGAGCTAAACACAGTTATCCATCTCTAACTTGCCAAAGAAAAAGGTGGAATTAGAAGGATTCAAGCTCTTACTCCTTCATAGCTTAGGCTGCAATATGACCAAAAGTCAATTACAGAGAGCAGAAATGGTCTAATCCATTAGCTCCTTACAAAGAAGGCCAGAGAAAACAGACAGAGTACATATAGTCCTTCACACTACAACATCAACAGCTTTGACCAAAGACTCAAGGGAGCCAACTTCTACTGTGATTACTCTATGGCAAAAGAAAGATACTAAAATGATGCAGAGGTACAAAATACTGGTATTACTGAGTCTAAAAGCACTGAGAAGACCTTCTCCAAATATCTAGAAGTGTTTTTATCAGCCCCTCCCTATTATAAAATTAAAAATTCAACAACTTATCTAAGGTATTCCAACATGTTGTACAATACTTTTCTTTAACTGGTCCACAAAACAAACAAGCATGAATTTCATTCTCATCAGTACACATTTCACTTCTTTGTAAGGCAGTATATATTATAACAGCAAAAGAAATAAAATGTCCTTTCTATAAAGTTTTCTTGCATGCAGTAATTTAAATGCACTTCAGAAAATGGTTACCAAATTATACATCCTTGTTTGTCTAATCTCATTGCACTTGAATCAGACTACTTTAAAACCACAGCTGGAAACTAAGAATTATGAAAGGTTTCTTTTTTTAATCCATCTTTTCTATATTTCAGCTGAGAATGGGAAGATGAAACCTTGCCTACAAGACAAACTTCAGAGCTATTTTATCCTTAGTGCACAGTAAATTGCCTTTCTCCCTCTAAGCTGTGCTACCACATACGATGTATCTTTTCACTTTTGTTCCTGCTTCTTTGATTCTCTGAATAACTTAGCAGTTTCACAGAACCACAGAATGATCAGTGATGGAAGGGACCTCTGGACATCATCCAGTCCAACGTCCTGCCAAAGCAGGGTCATCTACAGCAGTTGCACAGGATCGCATCCAGGCGGGTTTTGAGTATATCCAGAGAAGGAGCACAGCCTCTCTGGGCAGCCTGTTCCAGTGCTCTGCCACCCTCAAAGTACAGAAGTTCTTCCTCATATCCAGACGGAACTTCCCTAGTTTCAGTTTGGACCCATTGCCCCTTATCCTGTCACTGGGTACCACTGAAAAGAGTCTGGCCCCATCCTCTTGACATCCACCCTTAAGGTATTTATAAGCATTGATGAGATCCCCTCACAGTCTTCTCTTCTCCAGGCTGAAAAGACCCACTTCCCTCAGCCTTTCCTCATAAGGGAGATGCTCCAGTCCCCTCTTCATTTGCTGTCATTCGCTGGACTCTCTCCAGTAGTTCCTTGTCTTTCTTGAACTGGGGAGCCCAGAACTGGACAAAAAAAAAACTCCAGATTTGGCCATACCAGGGCAGAATAGAGAGTGAGTACAAACTCCCTCGAGCTGCTGGTCACACTTTTCTTCATGCACCCCAAGATACCATTAGCCTTCTTGACCACGACGGCACTTTGCTGGCTCATGGTCAACTTGTCTACCAGGACTCCCAGGTCCTTCTGCACTGAGCTGCTGACCAGCAGGTCAAACCCCAGCCTGTACTGG